CTGATTGAAAGTTTTTTTCAATGTCATTATAAATTGTGTATTTTGTTCAGATATGATTTTGTATTTCTTTATTTGTACATACAATTAATTCTTGATCTGTTTTATTATTTATTTTTACTTTACTTTATTTTTTACTTTAAGTTACTCCTTTACCACTATTTTATAATTAGGGTATTTGTATTACTTTATTTAAATAGATGGTTGAATTTTTGCATAGATTTTCGGAGTTGTGTAGTGACTATTTCTAATTAGTTAATTGGTGGAATTGTAATATAGTTTAATTAAAATATTTGTTTTACACACAGTTGGGATCAGATGTAGTTTTTGTTAAATGAGGTAGTATAATTTGCGTCTTAAGGGTGGGTTGGTTATACCTCTTGGTTGTTTTGTACATATACTGAAAAGTTAGCCTTTCTGGTATAATTAATTTAAGTTTAGATGTCAAGTATTATTTCTATTAATTTCAAACATTCAGTTCAGTTTGATTTAGTAATAAATTATCCAACGATTTATGTCACACAGTGTATACGCTATTTGAGGTGTTAGAATCTAATTTTTTAATTCTCGTTCGTATCGACAGTGCTTTATCTCTTTCTCGTTACTCTAGGAAGAGTGTCTGAAATTGGGCGGTTTATTAATTCTTAATTAATCCCGTTTTAAAGCTTTAAGTGCTTGAATATCAATTTCTTTTATAGTTTTTTTAATTATTAGAATGTGGTTAGATGCTGGGGTCGGTAAACGTTTTATCCTCCTCTATCCCCTAGTTAATTTTCTTATGCATCCAGAATTTTAAGTTCAATAAACTTAATTTTTGCTTTGTCCTTATTTACTTCTCTTCTTTTATTATTTAGTTCTACCTTTTATGTCGGATGAGTTTGGTCTTAAAATGACGAGGAGGAATTGGAGAATTTAGTGAAGTGGAGGTGAAATTGGAGTTGAAATGGGTATGGATGGATTTGTGGGAAGTGGTGCAATACATGCTATGAGTAGTGCTCACTTGAGGTACGTGAGGATGATTGAGTATAGGTTGGCAAATATTTGGTCCATCTTTTGTTGGTTAAGCACTTTTTTTTAATTTTTGTGAAATATTTATTTATTTCAAACGGCAGGCTTTGTGATATTTATCATTAGCCCTTAAACTTTCACTTCAGCTCCCCCCAAGGGTGGGGGGGGGTACATTTATAGCAGTTAATTAATAGCAGTTCATTAGCTGTCTTCTTGCTTCCCAGTATCTCTGGCTTTCCGTCGTTGTCTTTAGAGCTGGACATCGAATCAGATGGGTCTTTTCCATTTCCTCATGTAGGTTACATAGGGGGCATGTGGGTTGAGTGTATACTCCCAATCTGTGAAGATGTTTTGTCAAGCAATCGTGTCCGGTACGTAGTCTAAACTCAGCAACGGCTTCGATTCTTGGCCAGTCGGCTATATCGGAGAGTGCCACTGTCCACTGTTTCTCCTTTGTTCGAGCTTTAAGTTCGTTGCACCTTGAGGTCTGGAATTCTCTTCTGGTTAAGGCCTTCATTGCGGAATACCATAGAACAAGATCATCTGCATAAAGTAAGCACTTGATGCCCGTGACTGTCTGTACCAATTCGCTATGTCATTGATGAAGACACTGAAAAGAGTGCAGCTTATGGCAGCTCCCTGTGGAAGGCCTGTTTGTAAAAGATTGGATTTTGATAGAGCATTTCCTTACCTGACTTTACACGATCTTTGTCCAATGAATGCTTTTATCCAGTTTAGCATGTTATGCTTAATACCAATCTTTGTCAATTTAAGAATTAGCTTCTCTTTCCATACTAAGTCATATGCTGATTTGAAATCGACGAAAACAGCCGTAAGGGTATTTCTTGCATCAAGGGCATCTTTGATGTGTTGGGAGAAAGTGGATACTTGTTGGTTCATTGATCTTTGTGGCCTAAAACCTGCTTGTTCACTCCTGAGAATATTGTTGGTCTCAAAGAACCAGGTCAGCCTCCTGTTAACCATTCTTTCCACAAGTTTAGCCAGCACGCTTGTGAGGGAGATAGGCCTATAGTTGTCAAAGCTGCTAGGGTCCTTGNCTAATCATAATATTCGTGATATCAGTGCAAAGTTTGTCAGGATGTTGGTTGAAGTTGAGGGGACTTGTGTGAAGTTCATTCTCCAAAAGGTTTGTGAATCTAGGCCAGTCAGCCTTCTTGAAGTTCCATGATAGCTTACTTGGCACTTTCCTTGTCATGCTTTTGCTGCCGATGGTAATACTAGCAATGACTGGTTTGTGACCAGAACCAGGATCGTCAATTATTTCGCGGCGTGTATGCTCGCTGATGTCGCTTGAAGCCAGGAGTAAGTCAGGAGTTGTTCTGGTTCCATTGTAGTGCAAATATGTAGCCGGATCCTCATTGCTGTGAATAAGTTCCAGAGGGTTGCTGTTTAGCATGTCTTCAATTGCTTTTCCAGCTATGTTTGTATCCTTGTAGTCCCATCTGGTGGAATTGGCGTTGAAGTCTCCTAATACTATAGTTTTGTGTGAGATGTTCAGAAAGTGAAAGTTGGGACAATTCTGGGGTGGATTATAGATTGCATATACCTTGAAGTGGTTTTGACATTTCCAAACATTTAATCTGATTATTTTACATTTGCCTTGTGTCGAGCCCATACTCTTGATTAGATCGTAGTGTGAGGTGAGGCCTTCTTTAACTTCAGTTAGAATTCCACTTGCAACTTGCCGGTATTTAGGTAGATTGTACAGGGTGTAACCTGGGAACTGGTAGTACTTCAGTTTGTCATCCGAAATGTTAGCTTCCATAATTGTGAAAATGTCTACATCATAGGTTTGTAGGATTTTCTGTACTTGGATCTTTTTGGCCGGAGACATTCCTCCAGCATTCCACTGGAGGATCTGAAGGCGTTGTGATTTGCCCTGACGAACGCGATTTCTCTTACAGCCTTTTTCAAGCTAATCATAATAAATCGAAGTCAAATCAAATCAAATGCCGAGTGACAGACTTTTTTGCCTCATGAGTATACGTTGTCCAAAGTGCATCACGTGGAGGTAAATCTATCGCGCACCCCTTATGTGAAATATAAGATTATTTCTATTGGTATGTATTGGTATTATTTTATACAGCGGCGATGAGTATTTTTAAATTCATTCGTGTTGCTATATTTGGTAGATTAGTATTTCCTCTTTTGCTTTTCCTTATTTGGCGTGTTCTACTGTTAGAAACAAGTTTAGTTGCAAATTCATATCATCATTTCACAGGGTGAATTAAATTTTGACTATGAAACTAGGTTCTTCATTTGTTCTCTTACAATTATTTGAGTTTGAAGAAGTAATGAATAGAAGTTATGATCCAATCTTTCATACTAGTGGTTTCGCTTTTGTTTGTCTACATTTTGGACATGTGTCATTAGAGATTTAATTTTCTCATTAATAGTTGGTTTCGATATTATTTTTTTATTATGGAAGTTCAAGAACTGTTTGACAGACACTTTGTCTATTATGTGTATGTCTATAATGCATAATCTTCGTATATTTTCGTTTATTACTAATAGATTATTTAAGCTGACGAATCGTAATTTTATTGACTGCTACCAGTTTTCGTCTCAAACTACTTGATTTTTCTGTAAATTAATCTTTAAATTTTCATGATTTCTATATTTATGGTTATACAAATTTTAACTGGTGTGATATTATTGACTCAGATTTTCTTTAGTAATGAATTTTTCCAAAGATTTATTCACGCTTTGTGTTTACGCTATTGACATATTTGAGGTGCAAAAATCTATTTCGATTTTTTTCTGCTTTCTCTAAGGGGTTTGTCTGAAAAGAAGGGTTTATTTTGAACTTACTTTTAATGGGTGAAGCCTAATGGGTTATAGTCTACCATGACATCAACTGTCATATCGATCTGCTAATATGCAAAATTTTACCCATTTTGGTATACTGTTTGTTGGTTTTCTAATAGTGGTACTACTTTGATTCGTATATTTTCCATTCATATCTTATTGAGATTTTTAATATGAGGCTTCACAATTTTACTCCTATTTTATTTATCTAAGAGTGGTAGCAATAAACCTCTCTTTTCCAATTCTTCTTTCTTTGACTTTTTCCTATTTTAAAATAAAGGATTTTAAGAGCTTCACATTTTTATTTCTAGTATTTATGATATAATTAAGTAGTCCGGATTCATTATTTGATATTGGAGCATGTATAAAGGGCAGACTCAATGGGTACGCCATTGCCTATAAAGCTCGAGTGATACTTTTCAACCACCTCTGCTATTTCACGTGGAATTAACTCTAAGGTGGGTGGATTAGCCTTAAGAGCTTCTTTTTATTTTTACGAGTGCCAACTTTTAACAATTCCAGTAAGTCGTTAATTAGTATTTTATTAATAGGATCAGTATATACTGTTCTTTGCCTTGTTTATGAGGTATT